TAAAAAGGAAGGTTTTAACTTTAACATAGTAAAATTACATATAACAAAACAAGTATCAGACAAAAATTACAGTTACAATATTTATGTCTACTTTTTTTTTATCATAACTAAGGAAAATTTTAGTTACAACTATCTATTCTTCAACTCCATCAAAGACCCCAGAAGGATATAATGTTACCTAAGTTAAGAGGAAGTGCATTGTAAGCAACTCCCAAAACATTAGAATTGACAGAGACATCTTGCTGCCTGGACAGTTACCCAAAGTTCTTCTGTAATGTTGGGGTATCATCTTCAGCTGACAGGCTCGTAGTATCCAGCAGACTTTTCCATGAAGCAGGAAATTTGAAAGAAATTTCACCTCTATTGGCAGTTTGTCAGTCACTTTCTTCTGTATCCTGCAGAATGTCTGACAGACTCTTTCATGAAGCAGGAACCTTGAAGGACTGTTTCACCTTTAGACAAGTTTATGATTCATTTTTCTGTGGGTCCTGCATGTCCAGTTCATACAGCAATACCAGCAAGCACTCCAGGCAAGAGCAGTGTCTTGCCCAAATAGCTAGCAAACTCTTTAAGGAGCCTTTTTTATTTCTGACATCCTCTTGAAGTAGATTGGTGCTGCCAGGAGCAGATATGTCTCATTATCATGAAAAGTCCTAAGTAATTCAAACATTAAATGTCATATTCTGTTAGTCTTGGAAAGGTTTGAAGAATACTTATCCATTTGAAATATATCTCTGTACATCTAGAAAACCTAACTAGCATGACTGCAAGCTTAACTATTATAGATGACTGTCTATTTACCTATATTTTTTAAAATATACATTAGATTTTTAAATGAGTTCCACAAATATAATACCTTAATCAAGAGCAGAAATATACATATAACAAAATTGACTTTAAATTTGTATCAATGAACCAAGATCCATACCATTGCAAAATATTCATCATATAGCATGTGCCCTTTTAAATGAAAACAAACATTTATAAACAATCATTTAGGGAATTTGCACATTGTTCTCTAGACTACTTCCTGCTGATTGGGGGTGCTGCTAATCAGGTCTTTCATGGGATATCCTAGGTCCATGTTGGCCAGGAGTCCTGAAGCTGTCATGGATATTGGACCATCTGGGTCTTGTTTAATCAAATCATGTTAGCCAGTAAGGAATCCACAGCTTTTTATCCTCTCTGGAAGCAAAAGCAGAACCTCTTTTCCAAAGCAACATAGTCTTAGACCCAAATTTTGAAGTTAAGATACCTTTAAAATATATATGTTGGTTTAGTTTAGCAGCCCATACAATGAAATGTCTCTCTGTACTTAGCTCATTCACAGTCAAAAAATTTAAAGAAAACACAATAATACATATAATCCAGACTCTCTATGTATATTCCACCTTACACAACTTAATTTTTTTACTCCTTTAATCTATGACTGTCTATACTCTTTGATGTTACTTTTATTGTTTCTTTAAAGACTGTTGAATTTTTAAAAACTATTTCTTTTTATAGCTGTCTATATTATTTTTCTTCTCTTTTTCAACCCTATATACATTTTTTTGAACACAATGTCTCATTTAGAGGTCTTTTATGTCTGAATCTGTCCTATTGAGTATCTGAATTTTTTTTTTTCCTGACAAGGAACATTTTAAAATGGTAAGTAGTATGGTTGCAGTAGCTCTGGATGCTGGTTCCACCTCTCTCAGCCTTTTAATATGGTGAAGGTACCTTTAAGGTCAACTCTGGGACTGTTGGGTAGTAGCCTTGCCTACCACCTCAACTCTTGGAAGCAGTTGGCCCTTGCTGTCACCACATAACTTCCAGCATGCTACCCACAAACCCCATTCATGTGCTCAGCCTCCTGAAAGAGCCAGAGCTGTTCATGCAATGAGTACAAACCAGGCAGTCTTCTTAAAGGAGCTGTACAACTTTGCTGCCTGCTACTACTGAGTCAGGAAGCCTTCTCTTAAAGGAATCATGCCCCTAATTGCTTCTAGCAAACAGAGCCCACCTGAGAAAATACTGTTACCATTAAGCCGTGTTTAACTCTGTCTTTTTGTGTGTGTCTAGAATTCCTTCCCAAACTCTCTTAGGTTTTATGTGGATGTAGTCACCACATGTTGGGCGCCTTTTTTAGGCTGAGACTACTTGTTCGTTTCCTGCCACCCAGACCGAATAATAAAATAGAAACTATGTTATTTACAGTACTGTTTGTCCAATAGCTTTGGCTTATTTCTAGTTAACTCTTACATCTTAAATTAACCCAATTTTATTATTTTGTGTATCGCCATGAGGCTGTGTCCTACCAGTAAGGTTCTGGCTGGTGTCTTTCTTCTTCAGCAGCTACATAATTTCCCTCTTGTATTTGTTTCTTTTCTTAAACCTTTCCAGATGTTTATGGGTTGAACTTCTATACTACTTTGTCTTACCTTGCTAGCATGTGCTATAGCATTCGCAGTACAGCATATAGCTTCGTACTGTTTTGATCTGAGTTCTTTCTTCATTCAGAATCCTGCAGATTTGAAAAATAGGAAGGATAGCAAGCTGACCTTTTTTGTCTTTAGTCTTTTAAAACTTCTTCCTTCAGTATTTCTTGCTTGATTTCTAAACGATGCCACCTGAAAGCATGATTATGAAGCTCAGAAAATAATTCTTCCAGCCAGCACTTAATACTTTACACTCAAGCTCTTTGTACTCCAAGTTACAAATAATCTTTTTCCATGTTCATTCTATTAAAATCTTTTGATAGTAATAGACAGTTTCTTGGTGAGTAGATAAGTAATAAACAGCTTATGTATTAGCATCCTTTGTGTATTAGAGAGTGACCTGCTGTACATCAGTGAACGGCTTGGATTGAATATTGTTTTTTAAAGTCTTTTATGTCTTCTAAGACACACACTTAGAACTTCATATATAGCCCATAATGACCTTGAACGCCATAGTCTTCTACCTCCCATCTGTTGGGATTACAGGTCTGTACCACCACAACCGGACATTCAGAAAACCAGTTTTGGATTGAACTTTGGGACTGCTACTTACTAGCTTTTTGAACGTGGCTAGATCAGTCAACATTTTCTTTCTTTTTTGAAAGACAGTATCTCACTGTGTAGCACTGGCCTATACCTCCTTATGTGGTCTAGACTTGGCCTTGTATTCACAGAGATCAGACTGTCTCTGCATCCTGAATCCTAGGATTAAAGGTGTGTTCCACTGTTCCTGGTCAGCCAACCTTTAAATCTAAATTTCTCATTTTAAATTTAAATTGCTCTTTGAACAAGATTGAATTAATTCTCTTCCTCTTCTTTCTCCTTTATTTTTGATTTTCTTTCTTTTGAAATATACTGTGTAGCTCTGTCTGAAATTCTTTCTTTCTCCTCTCCTCTCCTCTCCTCTCCTCTCCTCTCCTCTCCTCTCCTCTCCTCTCCTCTCCTCTCCTCTCCTCTCCTCTCCTCTCCTCCCCTTCTCTCCCCTCCCCT